TAGACTTGACTTCGTCAAAAGCAGTTTGTGCGTCCTCATTCCATCTAAAGGTTTTTCCGCGAAGTAAATCAGTAAGTGGAACTGTTATTGCTGAATATTGGGATATAAATCGACGGTACCATCCACACATCCCCAGAAAGCGTCTTAGTTGCTGTTGGCTTTTGGGGACAGGAAACTCGGATACCGCACTGACCTTGTTCGGGTTTACTTGCAGCGTTCCCTCCCCAACGACATAACCTAGGTATTCTACTTTTCTAAGGCAAAACTGACTCTTTTTGATATTAATGGTAAGGCCTGTATGGCGTAAACGAGTCGCAACTTCTAATAGATGTTTTAAGTGATCATCGAAACTGGATGACATAACAAGAAGATCGTCCAAATAGACGAATACGTGAGACTTCAGTTGATAGGGTATGACTTGGTCCATAAGACCACATTGTCTGAGGGGCGTTGCACAGTCCAAATGGCATACGCCTAAATTGGTATAATGGCCTATTCGGAACTGTAAATGCTGATTTTGGCCGAGACTGGGAGTCTAAATTGATTTGCCAAAAGGCATCTTTCAAATCAATTTTTGAAATGCAGTAAACTGGTGGAAGACGACTTAACAATCCATCTAGATTTGGAATTGGATATGAGTCTTTTATCGTGGCCTCGTTTACCTTTCTAGAATCAATCATCAATTTAATCATCCTGTCGATCTCTACACAAAGAAGTTTTTCGCGCGCCGGTGATAAAGGGTAATGCCTCTGTTTTATTGGCTTGGCATTGCCAGTATCGATTGAAAGTTCGTAATGCCAAGACCATCTCTGTCAAATGACGGGATGAAATCTACAACACTTTTTAGTCTGGATTTCTCCACAAGCGTTAAGTTAAGCTCAGGTAGCTCTTTTCAAAAGTTCAGTTCATTCACACTGGCTCCTACGGAAACGAAAATTCAAAATTTTTCCCAGAAGTCCATTCCACAAATAACCTCTAATGTTCGATGACATCATAAGTCAACATTAATTTTGATTTAATTATTATTATTGTTATGAATAACTTCGTTCAAGCTGATTAATAATTTGAATTCTTTGCCAACTTGTTATATTTAATTACCCCACACTGTAATCATATGCTTATGTTTTGAATTCGCCTTACGCTCTTTTATACATGCAGCTCACACATGTACATACATACATATCTCTCTTTATAATCTCGAAATCGAACATTAAAAATCAGTGCATATTAGAGACCGAAACAAGTCGAACGTTTTATTCTATTCTAATAACTCTGCATTCGGCAGAGTCCGCACATTTTGGCGACCGTGACAGGACTCTGCATTCGGCAAGTCCCACCATAAACCACTTCGAATCATTCCCTCTGCATTCGGCGGAGAAATAGATTCCATCAACGCCAGAATAATTGGTGTATTTCGGCACGCAGTGCAGCTCATCGGAGTATTGGCAGTGCGTTTGGCATCAGCGTTGGATCTCCGGAAGCATCGTTGGATCACCGGAATCTTCGCCACTGGATCGTCGTGGATACCTGCATACAGGGTATGCGCATCATAACCGTCGCAAGTACAGATTTGGAGACCAAAGAACAGCGGCACAAAGAGGACGAAAAACTGTAAGCTAGACTCGCAAATGCAATCGCGGTTTTGTCATTCCACTCTGAACCAAAGGGCATTGCCCATATACACACATACATACTTGTGCAGCTGGTCTGCAAATAAATAAGCCAAAAATTGAGTTATTTTCCCAAGCATCGGAGTGTTTTGTTTTCTCCCTCTGAACCAAAGGGCATTGCCAACATATTTGGAATTGCTTCACTCAATAATTACTCCACAATTAGTTTTCGCTAAATAAATCGTTGCAAAAATGACTGATACTCAACTCGTGTCTTTAAGACAACAAAGGAATACAATTCAGCGAAATATAGTTAATCTCAAAGTTCGCATCGAACTGCAGAACGACCTTGCTGCCCTTGAATGCCAGTCACAAATTTTGGAATCGTATTTTAAACAAATTCTTCAAATTCAATCACAGATCGAACGGCTGGATGCGGCTGACGACGGCCGGCAAGAATTAGAGGACGTATTCATAGAAACCAAGGCAATTATCATCACTCGTATTGGGGCGTCAAAGAAGGACCGGCCAGAAGATGCAAGTTTCTTTAATTCATCGGCAAATTGCGCAACTGGGCACCATAATCGTTTGCCTTCGTTAAAGCTGCCTAAGTTCGACGGGAAGTATGGTGACTACATGAAGTTTATTACTGCCTTTACTAGCATGGTACATGATGACGCTTCTATATCAGCTGTTGACAAATTTAACTACTTGCTTAGCTGTTTGTCTGGCCCCGCGCTGAGTGTTGTGGCCCCTTTTCAAGTGTCCGAAATCAATTATCCAAAGGCGTTAAAGCAGTTAAAGGAGCGTTACGATAAAAAGGTTTTGATTTTCATAGAGCACATATCTAGCTTATTTGATATTCAAATTATGAAAAGATCTGATCCCGCAGCTCTTCGTTGTATCTTGGATACCGTCTCCGCGCTGCGTGAATCGTTGTTGTCGTTAGGAACAGAAGCAGATGTTATGAACGCAATACTAATTCATCTTGTTTTATCTAAAATTGATGCAGATTCGAAATTATCGTACGATCGGGTTCAAGAATACGAGGTGTTGCCTACTTGGGAGGATTGTTATCGCAGTTTAAGCCGTCATTGTCAATTTTTGGAGAGCAACGTTAAACGAACATCTGATGAGAAGCCAAAGGAAAGGCCCACGCAGAATAGAAGAGCCTTTGTTACGGCACAGGGTGGTTGTAAAAAATGTTCTGTTACTGATCACTCTCTCAATCAGTGCCCTTCATTTGGTTTACTAGACTGGCAGGATAAATTGAATTTCGTCAAGCAATCCGCTCTGTGCATAAATTGTTTGCGCACCGGCCATTTGGCGAGCAGATGTCCAAGTAGATCTCGTTGCCGCGTTTGTCAAGGCTTACATCATACTATTCTGCATAGAACTGCTCATCCAGAGCAACCAACACAAATTGTCTCCCACACATCTCAGCAGCAGCGGGAACCCACACATGCTGTTTCCATGCTTTCGCGTCATTCGAGGCGCGCTTTAATTCCTACGGCAATAGTATTGATTAAGGATAAGTTCGGAATATTTCAGCCAGCCAGAGCTTTGCTTGACTCAGGCTCTGAAATAAATTTCATCTCTGAAGAGTTGGCCAAGCTCCTTCAGCTCAGATTCGAGAGACAGAAGTATGACATTTCTGGCATAGGCGATGTCAGAACGCAGATGAGATTCTCGGTCTCAACAACTATTCGATCACGATTATCTGTAAATGAATGGCATTTACAATTCGCTGTAGCCAAGACAATATCGCTTAATCAGCCAGAGCGATTCGTTGACACTTCACAATGGAACATACCCTCAGAGATTGACCTTGCAGATCCAGGCTTCTACATGCCTCACCGGATTGACCTACTCATCAGCACACAAGAGTTTTTTGATTTACTTTCACATGGCAAAATTTCTTTAGGTCCAGGCCTTCCTTGCCTGGTCAATACTGCACTTGGTTGGATCGTTGGCGGAAAGGTTTCTGATATTCCGCAATCCCAAGTCGTAACATGCAACATGGCACGTTCTACGGAGCTGCAAGGTGCATTAGAAAGGTTTTGGCTAATCGAGGAGTTTGATTCGCACGATCAAGGTTTCACCGCAGAAGAGCAGGAATGCGAACGACATTTTGTGGCAAACACAAGGTTTCTCACATCTGGACGAGTCCAAGTTTGCTTGCCATTTAAGGAGAATCCTCACATGTTAGGTAAATCTTTTGAAATTGCCAAATCCCGGTTTTTGCAAAATGAACGGAGGTTGAGCCGCAACCCGTTGTTAAAGGAGATGTACGTTCAATTCATGAGGGAATACCTAGATTTGAATCACATGCAATTGGCATCTGATTTCGACTCTCAAAAGACCCATTATGTAATCCCGCATCATGGAGTCCTGAGATCAGAAAGCACGACTACCAAGCTGCGTGTTGTGTTTGATGCATCGTGCAAAACAACGTCGAACCTTTCTCTGAATGAGTTGTTGATGATTGGCCCAAGCATCCAGCAGAATCTTATCCTAACACTTCTTGCCTTTCGCTTACATCGTCATGCACTTGTAGCTGATATCTGCAAGATGTATCGCCAGTTTGAAGTATCACCAGACGATCGTATGTATCAACTTGTTCTCTGGAGAGAATCCTCAGCTGCGCCTTTAGAATTGTTTCAGCTCAACACTGTCACGTACGGCATGTCCTGCGCACCATTTCTAGCAATCAGGAGCTTGAAATATATTGCAGATAAGTTCTCAAATCAGTTTCCCATCGGAGCAGCCGTACTTAAAGAAGATATGTACGTCGATGACCTCCTTACTGGAGCAGACAGTGTCGAAGAGCTTCATCTCAAGGCTACAGAGGTCACCAGCATACTTTCTAAGGCTGGATTAGAGCTTGCAAAGTGGAACACAAGCAAAATAGAAGGCAACGGAGCAGAGTTTCAATTTAAGGTTGATACCAAAGATGTTACGAAGACTTTGGGCATGTCGTGGCAACCAAAACTAGATGTGTTTTGTTTCAGGTATACCCTACCTACAATCTCTGTCGTCACCAAGCGGAGCATCGTTTCACTTGTAGCTCACCTGTACGATTTGCTAGGGCTCGTATCACCAGTCGTTATTCGATGCAAAATATTGGTCCAAGAGTTGTGGATGCATCGTCTAAACTGGGACGATCCACTTCCCCCTGAGCTTCAATCTCAGTGGAAGCGAATAGAAGAAGATTTGCACAATCTTCAAACCATCGAAGTTCCAAGATTCATTAACTCGTCACCTAAAAATCTATCGGAAATACACGGATTTTCAGATGCATCGCAGCGAGCTTATGGCTGTTGCCTATATCTACGAACATACATAAACGGAGAGTTCAAATCAATGCTAATCATCGCCAAGTCTAAGGTGGCCCCAATAAAAGCAATTTCATTGCCGCGGCTAGAATTGTGCGCCGCATATTTATTGTGTCAAACATGGGCCAAGATTAAGCATAAATTCGAAAAATACATTGATAGTATTTTCTTTTGGACAGATTCAAGAATCGTTCTACAGTGGCTTACCATGCACTCGTCCAGGCTAAACTGTTTCGTCGCTAACCGGATTTCTGAGATGCAATCAACCACGTCAAACATCACTTGGAGGCACGTTCCGGGCAAGGACAATCCCGCGGACATAGTTTCAAGAGGCTGCGCAGCGTCCGAGCTTATGGAAACTATATGGTTTCGTGGACCAAGCTTCTTACGTCAAGACTCATCTGGATGGCCTCAACCAGTACCAAATTCTCAGGACACCAATGAAGAGTTGGAGCTGCGAAAAGCAACAGTCCTCACATGTACCGATAGTGGAAGCAAGGAAGATGTATTCGATGAAGTTATCAACAAATTCTCATCCTATCGGCGCATTTTGCGAGTCATAGCTTTTGTGTTGCGCGTCTTTAATAGAATCAAGGTCAACAAAAAGGTGAACTTAGTCGATGTAATTCATACACCAGCAACTGAATTGCAATACGCGTTCAAGCACATCGTATCACATATTCAGCAGAAGACCTTTTTCAACGAAATCCAGCAGCTAAAGGAAAACAGGATTTTAAAACCCGAATTTCAGAAACTAAATCTGTTCCTAGCAGCGACTAACGGGCCAAACGGTTCGATAACACTATTACGTGTAGGAGGCCGCTTAGCCAAGGCGCCCATTTCACTCGATGCCAAATTTCCTGTTCTTCTACCAAAGAATCATTGCTTCACGTTGAAATTTGTTGAGTATCTCCACCGGCATCACATGCACGCTGGACCAAAGGCTCTCATTGGAATCCTGCGACTTCAGGCTTGGATTGTAAACGCCAGAGAAGTTGTGCGAAAGATTGTACGGCGCTGCACACACTGTTACCATTATAAGCCTCGTTTAATGGAACAAATGATGGGATCACTTCTAGTTGATCGCTTTCATTCACAACGACCTTTTTTTGTAACTGGAGTCGACCTATGTGGACCATTTTCCACATCATACCGCATTCGAAGCAAGGTGCCATATAAAACATACATGGCTGTGTTTATATGCTTTTGTCAAAAGCAATCCACATAGAACTCATTTCCGATCTATCTACTTATAATTTTATTCTCTGTTTAAAGCGCTTCGTCAGTCGCAGAGGCATCCCACCACGCATTTATTGTGACAATGCAACTAATTTCGTCGGTGCACGATCGCAGCTCGAGGACTTTAACCAGCAGCTATTCGACGAAGCCAACACATTAAATTTGCAGAAGTTCAGCAGCATCGTGGGATTCGAGTTCAAGTTCATCCCTCCGCGTGCTCCCCACTTTGGCGGCTTGTGGGAGGCCGCAGTGAAGTCCATGAAGAGCCTAATGATGAAAAACTTGGGCAACACTGGGCTAACGTACGAGGAGCTTCAAACGATTGCAATCGAGTCGGAGGCAATCTTGAACTCAAGACCAATGGCACCCCTTTCCGAAGACCCAAACGATGGAGAGGCGCTTAGCCCAGCGCACTTGCTGATTGGGTCCTCTTTGATGTCCGTACCGGAGCCTTCAATTGACGAGAGCAGACCATCTTATCTTACGCGGTGGCAGCGCGTAACGTATTTGAAGCAGCAGTTCTGGGAGCTATGGAGGCGTGATTATTTACACACGCTTCAGGAGCGCTCCAAATGGCTCAAACCCCACGCCAACATTCGAATTGGCCAAATGGTGATAGTTCACGAGGATAATACACCTCCCCAGGAATGGATCCTTGGTCGCATCACCAACACGCATGTCGGAGCTGATGGACGAGTACGAGTGGCCGAGATCAAGGTGAAAAATGGAACCATTCGAAGACCCATCTGTAAGATAGCGCCCCTGCCTGAGCAAACTGGTGCTTGAATACTCCTTGGATCATTCAACGGGCGGAGAATGTTCAGTCAACATCATTTTTGATTTAATTATTATTATTGTTATGAATAACTTCGTTCAAGCTGATTAATAATTTGAATTCTTTGCCAACTTGTTATATTTAATTACCCCACACTGTAATCATATGCTTATGTTTTGAATTCGCCTTACGCTCTTTTATACATGCAGCTCACACATTTACATACATACATATCTCTCTTTATAATCTCGAAATCGAACATTAAAAATCAGTGCATATTAGAGACCGAAATAAGTCGGTCTTATTCGGCAGAGTCCGCACACCGGCATTTCGTTCGATTCTCGTTTCGGATCGCTGAAATCTGTGGTTCGTTTTCCTGAAAGGATTCTTCATCTACAGATATCTCATTAATGTTTCGCCTTCCACCTGGGTAGCGTGGATTAAGTTTAATTCTTAAATTATTGAAGAATTCTTCATGACGATGACAGTGCCTGCGTAACGCAGCTACCGTTGGGGTTTCTATATGTAATATGTCATGTCCTACGTCAGATCTTAGGTTATTCCTAACTGCTTGAACCAAATCAGAGTCTGACATAGGCTCAGATAATGCATTTGCAATGGCTAACATTGAGTCAAGGAAATCGTCAAAACATTCATTATTTCCCTGCTTCCTTCTACGCATCGCATCTCGGCTATCCTGATCCGATCTTTGGTCTTTATATCTTTCCCTCAAACGAGAACAGAGTAGACGCCAATTCATCTGCTCAGAACTCATATGGCATCGCCAAAAGAAGGTTAAAGCTGGGCCTACAAAGAACAAATTTCCGTACTCATACAACAGATCACAATTTCCATTTAACGATCGACTCGTTAATGTATTTACACGATATATGAAATCGTCTACTAAAATGTCTTTTGTTGAACCGGAAAACTGTAGTTTCCAGTGGGCAATTAAGCTTGAAATTTGGTCAGGTCGGATGATATGATCCTCTCTACGATGTTCTAGTGAGGGGTTACCGGATATATTATGGTTAACGGGTAAATGACTATCAAAAGGCTGACTCGGTTGTGGGCCTGCTGGAGGTAACTCAGTGTCCCATTCCAGTGATTGTCTTTGTGATGAAGGCAGGTTAAGGTTTGGCATCGCAAGACTTATCTGTTCTGATAAAGTCGAAGAAAGTCGAGTTTGGTAAGATTCTAAAGCATTCGTTATTAGTTCCAGGATTCTACCTTCTGAAATGCTATTCGCTCTTTGCGAACCTCCTGCACGTGGTGTACGCGGATGTTGCGAGCTTGCGTTTGGACGACTATTAGCTACAGAGGTGGTCGATCTTGTGGAAGGTCTGACATTCGGACGGTTTCTTGGAACTGCACCTGTTCGCGAGTTTAAAGTAGATCCGTTTTGGACTCTCGGAACTTCTAAATTAGAGTCCTGGGATTCCCGTGCACTATTATTAAGCTGCGACGGTAAACATGGGTGCCGACAAATTGGACACGTTTCATTTTGCTGTAACCAGACAGTTAAGCACGGGCGATGAAAGCGGTGTCTGCATGAGGTTTATACTCAGCATCTGCGCTGGAGTCATTGCAAATACTGCACTGCACCGACTCAACGGGCAATCTCGAACTATTTTCAGGACTACGCCTTACTGACATTATTTCGTTTTCGATATTCCACAACAACAAAAGATAGCGATAGCAGTTAAATAATAATACTATTATTTCAACTAATCAAATTTGGAAGCCTGAATTTTTAATGGGATTGTTTGGGTCTTATCCTTTGCTGTATCGATTTCACTTAAGATATTACAATGGTTTCTAACTGTATTTTCATATTTATACTGAATCTAAAACAATCTGATGTGCTCATCCCGTTAAATGAAAGAGTATCCTGCTGAATTTTCCAGCTAGAATAATTCTCAATTTCTTTAAGCAACTTAACTGATAAACTATATATTGACGAATTTGAAACTAAAAATATTCTGAAATGAGGTATTGCTGAATTTTCCAACATCTACAATTCTCGAATTCCTATGAATATTTACAGTATAATTATTAAATCAAGTGTACAAGCAAGAGTTACTGTCGAACTATTCCAACAAATAAAATCTCAATTACTTACACCTTGAATATATCTATGAAACGCTTTCTCATGAAATGTTTCCTCTAATCCTTTAACTTATTCCCTGGTCTGGTTTTGAGGTATTTCCCAAAACACAGCAATCCTAGAAGACTAAAGAAAGGTTTTCTGATACTAAACTAACTTGTATGGGTGGATGACTTGTAGGGTAGGAAGGAAATCTGCTCGTGAAAGCATGGGCTGCGATTTTTAGCTTTATTTGTAATTGGTGATTCTGCTTTATGCTTTTGCTAGCCCCACGTTGGGCGCCATTTATTGCTGTGACGAACACGGTGAAGTGGATACCGACTGGTTGCATACTCTGCCTACGGGGTCGGCCTAGCTCAGGGATGAGGCCAGGGGTTTGGGTTACTTCCTAATCAGCATCACCGCCACACAATAAAATTTTGTAGACAGAGTTGGGAACTTAGGGAGGGGATACAGTCACTTTAAACCAATATGAAAATGAGACAGGAGACCTTGTTATTGAAGAACTGAGGTGGAATTTTCTTCAGCTTGGCCCGCCCTTCCTGTAAAGACATTCTGATTGTGGTTGCCCTTACCCTTGTACAGTGAAATCGTTCAGCTCAGGTGCCCATCAAATATAACTTTACTTAGAATTCGTGTTTCTTTTCTTTTCCTTACATCCAACTTAAACCTAAGCCCTACTCCTAATCTTTCGTAATCCTAAGTGATTAAAGTTTAATTGACAAATCTAATTACTAATTAAATAATGGGTGAAAATCAAAAGAAGCAAAAAGTTAATTAAAAGGTACGATCATATAAAGAAATGTAATTAATAAGCGCGCTCGGCACTGACAACTAGCAAACTATCGCTTTCATGAAGCTAATATTCATACGTTTCTTTTTATAGAGGCATAGATTAGCTGATCGAGTTTATGTGTGTACTCACGAACCAATCCCTCGAAGTCCGCAGGCCTGTAGACTGGAGTGCTGTATGATTTGATGAGCGTGGATAAATTCAAATTATATTAGGTGATCTCGATGTACATGAGGCCAATAAATGATTAATGCTCTATGGAAAAAGGAGTATGAGTATTGCTTCGATTCAAAGAAAATTACAACTAAATTTTATGAATCAAATTGTCTTTGACTTTCAAAGTGAACGTTCGTGTTTTTTTTCTGCGCTTCGAATTTTGCATTTTGTTTTCGTTTATTCCCATCGGTGGGCTTTATCAAAACAATTCTAATTCGCTTCCGATTTATTTAAACATAAATTTAAACTCCGTTCGCTTCGCGAGTGCACTTTGTATTTAATACTAATTAATTGTTTTAGTTTTTTCGTAATTCTTATCTGTGTTTTCTTTTCCTATATCCCCGCCGATTCTCTTTTGTGCATGCACTTTAACTTATTTACGCTCCCGCTCTCTTGCTCTCTTTGCTTTTGAAAGTTCTAAGCGTGCAGTTTCTGCGCTCTTGCGGTACTTATAACTGCTCGCTTATAAATTTCAATTTCGCTTTCTTGGTACAGTGGTAAATAAATAAAATGAATAATAAAAATTTAGTCTGCTTCTGCAAAAAATGCAGCCTCGTAATCAGGGCTGACCAGTCTAATATGACTTGCTGGCTGTGTGAAAATATGGTGCACACCAAGTGCGCCGATTTTACTGGCCGGACAAGTGATGACCTTTCAAAGGGGCCCAATTTGCAGTTTTGTTGTGACGCTTGTGTCGAGGTTGCGAACGAGATGAAATCGTTCATGCGCCAAACTAAAGGCGGCCTGATGGGACTGATTAGCTGTTTCGGAGTGGCTAGAGATAGTTTTCGCCGAGCTGATGATCTCCTATCTGCGCTGGACTCGCAGTTTAATAGTCGTAAGCTATTAGAAGAGTCCCCTAAGCGCAAAAAGGCCGCTGGTGGTAAGGAGCAAAAGGGGAACACCCCGCAACCGAAATCAAAAGAACAAAAGAGCATTCCGGCGGATCAGCAGCTGATTTCAGCAAACCCTCAAATGTTGCTAAGATCAGCAGCTAAAAAGGATTCGGTATCCGAACAATCCGTTACAGAATGCATGCAACCAGGGACTTCTAAGAATTCCGATTTGTCCGGAGTGGTTTCACAATTAGTGGATCCACTTATCTCTCAGAATGTAGCATCACCACCACAAGGGACTACTGAGTCCGGACAACCGGCTCAAGTTGGTTTTGCAGAAACAATGTCTGCTCCACCAAAATCCCTTACAGTGGTTCCACTAAAGAAACTAATTTTCGTTTCTCGGCTTTCCCCTGATCAAACATCTTCTGATGTATTGTCTTATATACAAGACAAAACTAAAGCCGATTGTAATAGTGTAAAGGTGGAAAAGTTTAAGTTTTCTTATGCTAGAGACATTTCATCTTTCAAGATAACTGTCCCTAACGAGCTTTTTGAAGTCATATGCTCGGGCGACTTTTGGCCGGATAATATGGTTGTAAACGAGTTCGAGGCTAAGATAAAGAAGAAGGGGCCCGTGGGAGTAAAACTTCCTAGTCGAGGCCAAACCAGTGTACCAATTTCAAAAAACTAACTTCTAACCTCCTTCTTTCCTATCAGAATGCAAGAGGTTTGCGTAGCAAACTCACTAAATTGTATTCTGATAGCCTTTCCTTTGCATCTCATATTATTGTGTTCACAGAAACCTGGTTAAAGCCGAAGATCTTTAGCTCCGAAGTTTTTCCAGGTAAGTACACAATATATAGGTATGACCGTCCCTCTAGACGGGGAGGTGGAGTCTTAATTGGAGTTGATTCAAACTTCCCGTCTGAGGAGTTATTTTTTGATGAATTCAATACCATTGAATTTATTTGTGTAAAGTTATCGCTTCCTGGTAACTTTATATACATAACTTGCTCTTATATTCCGCCGTTGTCTGAACTTCCTGATTATTTAAAT